GGAGGAGGAGGAGGAGGGAGGCGGTGAGGGGAGGAGGGAGCGTGGGTTGCACAGGGATAGAAAGGGCTGGAAGTGATAGCGATGGAGAGGGAAGGGAGAATGAATGAAGGGGGGGAAAAAAAGAGAATAAAGGGGGCAAAAAAAATCCCCCTCCTCTTTCTCTTTCTCTTTTTCTCTGTCTCTCTGCCTCTCTCTCCCTCCTTGTCTGGCTCATAAATAGAAGAAATTGTTGACCAGGTAAATGGCGAAATAGATGAGAAGACAGAGGACCGAGAGAGCAAGCAAATGAAAAGGTAAAGCACCTCCCAGCAGCGCGATGAGGAAAAAAAAGAACAAAAAACGAAAGATAAAAGCAAATACTCCAGTGGCCTCCGTTGTCTCCAGTCTATATGTGGAAGGGGGGATTGGCTATTGCCAGTTGTTCCCCTTCCCCGGCTGCCTTCTGCTTTCTTCTGTCTCTCCTCCCAAAAAAGACTTCCCATCCAGATGACAAAAAGCAGGCACAGATGTCCTTTCCTCCCTCTCTCAACTCTGGTCTGATATCACGTGCCACTCACACAGGTTAGGCATTGTTGCAGCAGCAACGCACAGTATCACCAATATTGCCCAGTGGGAGAAAAAAAAGGCATTGGGGCTGCTGCTAGTCAAGCACTGCCTGCCTCATGAGGAAGGATACTGAGCTGGAACTGCTCTGTCTCCCCTCTCCCGCCCATCCCTGCGAAAAGATGGGAGGAAGGGAGGTGGGCCCACTCGCTGCATTAGTATTCATTGAAAGAGTGTGTGTGAGAGAGAGAGTGAGAGGGAGAGAGAGAGATGAGGAGGGAGGAGAGAGGGGTGCCTTCCAACAAATGTCGAGGAACCAAACCGGTGTGTGAAACTGATAAGAGACTGGCTCCCCCTAGAGTCAATCATCAATACACAAGCGCAAATAACTGGAAACACTGGGATTACAGTGCGGGACCAACCAGTCTGAGAACCTGTGACCTGCCTTCAGGACATCACCACACATCTTGAACCTTTTTCACCGCTTCAGTTTTACAATGTGTCAGTCCAGCTGTGTGATATTACTGTCGGCCACTTACAGAATAATCAAATGTGCAGTTGGTCAAATGTAAAGAGCTTCCTCTTCTTCAGAAAGCCTTGTTTATCACCCGAGTGTGATGAAGCACTGTTTATCTGTTACGCTGCACACTGGCTCACGTCTGTTGTGTCCTGTGAAAAAACAGACTGATCCTTTCCTCTGCATTTTGCCCTAAGCCAAACTCAGTGTTGCTATGGTGACAGATGATCGCTCCCAAATGTCCAAATCAAAGCTAGAAGCACACAAAGATAGGTGGTCAAGAGAACCCTTCAAAAAGGTAAAGACTGCAGTGTATCTCCACACTGGTTATGCCTCTGTCTAAACACTCCAGTCATCAAAGGTTTTTGTCTGTTTTTCTGCATTCAGGACCGACATGACACACACAGAGACAATGCACTGTGCACAATAGGCCTCACAGAGGTCTGTACTCAGAAGAGTGTGAGGTAAACCACAGTCTTATGTTTTATTCTCTTCGGGGAATAAGTTCTTTTCAATTGATTTCCACAGCCAAGACTACAGTGCATGTATAGTTTTGTTCCGTCTGTGTTAAAAGTTGTTATTTATAGCAAAGGGAGACAGAGTGAGACGAGAGAGAGATGATGACGGATCCTGAAAGAAAATATGATTACAAATCTCCACAGTCCCCGCCGTCTCCTCTGCCGACCCGTTTATCAGACAGTAATTACATAACTCACAATCAAACTCAAGCCCAATTGTATTCACAATGACAGGTGGGAGTGGAGAGTGCAACATTTTAAGCTCAATATTTGAACCATGTGTAAGCACGTTAAAACATTACCTGACAGTGACGCTGATGGTGGAATCTGTGTGACTGAGGACAAATAGTAGCTGCAGCACTGACCTTCCCCCAATGTTCTGCAAACATGGATTTAAAAATACAATAAACAGCCATTGTATAGAGAACAACTGCTGGACAATGGTGCTGATAAATGTCACAGTTAACATTATTTCCATCCTGAATGCATTAAAGGAAGATGCTGAGCATACATGTTCTTTTCCTAATTATATACTTGTGCAGCTGTGAGTGAGCTCTCAGTACAACCAGTGCCAGCTGCTTCAGTGGAGCAACTGGGCTTCAGCACTCTGAACACTTCCACAGCAACTGAAGAAGGATGAGAAACAGCCATTGTTTGCTCTTTAAAGGGTTTCCATTGGATGTCAACCAGTGACTGTTAACATTATCCAACCCCGGGCACAGAGCTTAGCTTAATTTGCGAAACTAATTTGACGAACGCACACAAAAGATTAATTAAGTTAAATTAAATCCACACATTACCTTAAAAACTGTTGCAGGAAAATGTCAGTGGGGGGAAGAAGCATCACGCGGGTCGTGGACTTACTAGAGTGCCATACCGCCGCCTCGTGGTCGAGCTGCCCTGATTGGATCGACTGTGCGGGGTTTGATTAGCCCGCCTGGCTTCATGCGCCGCTCAGTCACAACAGCGTTCAGAGATGGCGGCGCTGTCTTCTCCTCTACGAGTCTGCAGAGGAATACTGAAAGAACTACGTGCCGTCCATGGGTCAAGTTATAAGAAGACCCTGGCCTACAACTATGTTATGGACCAGTTCCGTAAGAATAAGGCGAGTTTCCCCACCGACTGCGTGTCAGCTAACGTTAGCTGAGTTAGCTCACCATATAAACTGCATGGGAAGTGCACGGCTAGCTTTAGCTAACCTAATAACTCTTGAATGATAATGTTAACATTTTTATGGTGAAGTAAAAATAACGTTCGCCCTTCAGGCGGTCATACACAGTGGAGTAGAGTGAATACCCAACATACCACTGGACTGTTGTCATTGACAACTTTGTAATATCTTCAAGGAATAGTTGAGCGCAAGGTGACTGTGAGACAGAAGGACATGCTAACTTTAGCCCGCAGCTAATGAGTCGTAGTACAGCTCAGTGTTGAGACCATTGACAGTATGTGTGTGTGTGTGT